AAGCAGGCTTTGCACTCTGCCGAGCCTCCCTTTCCCTCTGCTCAGCCTCCGACTCCATCCTCTCAGCTTCTTCCTCGGCTTCCTCAGCCTTAAGGATTTCAGCTTCGATTGGAGTGGCATACTTCATGTGAGGGTCTTCGGGATCTTGGACCCATTCAGCACATTTGGACCAGTCCAGCTTCGGCTCAGCATGAAGGCAGACCCTTCGGCACACTCTGAACCCGTTTCTAAAACCCATTTCATACTCTTCTTGGGTATAGATACGGACTTTGAGTAGAGCCTCAGCATCGGCCAACTTCTTCTTCGTCTCCTCCAAGTCTTCCTCGGATCTCTTCAGCTCATCGACGAGCTTGGAGGAGGAGCCTTTCAGCTCGGTAAACTCTTGCTGAACCTGGGAAGCCTCGGCCTGAACTTGGACCATTTCTTCCTTCTTGGCAGTGAGCTGATCCTCAGCCTCTTGTAGCTTAGCTCTTTGAGCTTCAGCAGCAGCAGCAGCCCTTGAGAGTTGGACATCCCTAGCTTGGAGCATCTCTTCAGCAGCCATTCTGCTGGCTTCAAGAGATTCTAGCTGATGCTGCACCTCAGCCTGTGCAGCAGCTCCTTGGATTCGGCTCTCGATAGCAGCCTTGAACTTGGAGATGTCCACCCCCAGGTGCTCTTGGAGGAATTTTTCCCCTTCCATCAGTGGGGGAAAAAACCTCCATCTCCATAGCATCACAGAAGGTTTTCAGAGCTTCGGCAGCTTTTTTACCGTACTCCTCAACCTCCTGCTGCTTCTCTTCAGCTGCTGCCTGCTTCAGCTTAGCAAGCTTTAGCTCTTCCTCGGCTACCCTTTGATCGTGCTCGGCAGCGTCCACCCTATCTTGTAGGGAATCTATCAGCTCTACAGTGAGAGTCTGATTGTGCACGAACTGAAAACAGGGGCACAAGTTAAAAAAGTAAAAAATTATAGCTGAAAGGTTGAGTTCAGAAAGAAATCAAGGCAAGGAAAATTACCTGCATCATCAGCAGTTGGTTAGACCTGGCTGGGTCAGGAACTGATCTACTGGATTCGCCCATCCCAGCAGTGGCCTTCAGCGACCAGATCCTTGCCCTGTCTACTTCGGACATGCCAGCAAAATTGCCGAAGTAGGCTGCAGCTCCTTCTCGGTTTTGACCCCATATGAGGTCCCAGATGTGATCTGGGATTGGAATTCGGGGGGCCGAGAAACCCATTTCTCCAGAATGCAGAGTCTGGAAAGAAGGGAAGGACGACGATGGAGCTTGATTAGCTTTGGTTGTCTCAGCATCGTCCTTCTCAGAGGAGTCAAGTACTATGACCTCCTCTTCTTCAGGGGTGAGGACGAAAGCCTCAACCTCTCTTGCGATATCTGCCGTGAAGCCTTCAGCACTTGACATCACGGCATCTTTATTTCCGTGCTCAGCAGCACTCTCCTTGATTTCTTCTTGGACCCCTCCCTTAGGTCCGGGAGTTCTCTGATCCACCTCCATCTCAGGAGGTGGTGGAGGGGTCTTTTGAGGAGATTGGGGTGTTGGCTGGGGAACCCTCGGCGATCCATTGCCTTCCTCAGGTTCCCTTATTGCGACGCCGATGGTCATCGGCCTCTGCTGAAAATCATGAGGGCCGATGATGGCCATCCTTCGGCGCCTTTTCAGAAGGGGCTGCTCGTCCATATCTGAGTCTGAAGACTCTTGTATTTGATCTTCGGGACGAACAGGAGCTTTGCCTTCTCTGTGTCTGTTACTCTCTTCAGACTGTAACAGACAGGGGGGAAGAAGAGTAAGAGTGTGAGTAAAAAAAAAAAAAAAAAAAAAAAGAAAGAAAAAAAGTTGTCTAAAAACTCACCGAGGTCTTCAGCAAAGCCTCGTCTTCTTCAGCTGCTCTAGCTGCAGCTTCGGCTTCAGCAGCTCTGGAGGACCCTTCTCCTCCTTCACAAGCTTCAATAACCCGTGCAACCTCTTCGGCTGTACGGGCAGCTTCAGCTTCTTCTTCCAGCAGCTGAAACAAGGGATCCCTCTTCTTCCACCAAGGCTTCTGCCTCTGATACAGAGCAACAGCCTCAATTTGGAAGTGGGAAGAGTCTAGGTGAACCTCTCGGCGCCTTGGTTCAGTGATAGGGGGAGCCCGATCAGTTACGACTCGTTCTCGGTTGACGCCAAGGCGAGCGTAATCAATGCCGATGTTGGTCTCGTCCCGTTCTGAAAAAGAAAAGGGGAGAAGTCAATTCAGTTAGTTCGGCACATCACAAGAAAGCAAAATGAAAGAAGAAAAGAGATAATTAAAAGGCCTCGGCCCCAGCCGAAGAAGATTACCATCCCTAAACTTTCGGCTGAGGCCGACAGCTGCCAGCATATTCTCTTGGAAAACATAGTGCGAATCGGGGAGCCAAGTCTCCGGGATATGCTGCATTCGGCCGCTGCCTCCCCGGTTCGGCAGCTTGCCGAAGATGTTCTGCTGATTAAGGTTCGGGTCTGGCCCACTATCTTCGGGAGGACCTAAACTTCCCATATCAGGATCCGGCTCGGCAAGATACCGGGGAGCGCTGAAAACATAAGGATGGCTCGGCTCCGTGGGCGCCCTAACCCAAATCCATTGACCTCTCCAGTCCTTGTCTGAAGAGTCGTTCGGCCACATGGTTAGGAACGGGGGCCGAGACTCAATCCGATACCACCCAGAACCATGGCTTCCGTGCCCACTCTGAATATTTGGCACTAGCCGATGGAGCTTTCTGAAGCAGTGCAGGTTCGGCACGTATCTGAAGAATTTGCAGACCCATAAGTACGTCATTACCCTTCGGATGCTGGTGGGGGTCAGCTGGCACAGGGAAATGTTGTAATGGATCAGCAAGTCTCGGACGAATACGTCCAAAGGGAACCTCAGCCCATACTGAAGCTGTCTCGTGTACACCCCCACATACCCCGGGGGTGGACGATGGATTCTATCGGATGCTGAGGGCATTCGGCACCAATATCCATCAGCTTCAAAAATGCCGTAGTGCAACTCAATTTGCTCAGCAAATCGATATTGATCGGCGTTCTCTACCCACCATGAGTAAGGACGGTTCTTTATCATGGCCGAAGCTACTTCGGCATCCTCCCACTCTGAAAACCCTGGGAGGATATCCCAAAGGACAGCGGGAACTTCATCATCCCGTCCTGAAGCTCTCACCCCCTCAGCCCTCTGAGGAGGAGCCGAAGAAATGGGAGTCGCCCTAACCCCTTCAGCAGGGTCAGACTCTGTCCTTCGTCCATTCCAGGTCCCAATCCTGACCCTGGGATCGGGGATTAGCCTTGCTCTTCTTGGAGCACGGGCTCCACCTCTAACTCCCCTCACCATTGACGAATTTCGAAGGAAAAAGTCGAAAAAGGGGAAAGAGTGCAAAGTCGAAGAAAGATGAAATAAAATCAAAGGAATTTACCTTGATCTGAAGCAAAAGCCGCCGATTTACGAATTGGTAGTGACAGGTCTCAGCTTCTAAGCTTAATGCTCGGGGAATTTGCGAAGTTTTGATGCGGGCTCTTGAGCGTTCTTGAGAATTCTGGGTTTGTGTTGATGAGTGAGTGGGGAGAGAAGACGCGCCTCTATTTATATCTCCAGAAATGGGAATTCAAGGAGTCTGCGTTTCAATTTCTCTCAAGCACCCCACTAAGTAGCCGTTAAACACACGACCTTGCAGTTAAATCGCCCACTACCCGTCCAACTTCCGCAGTCATCCACATTAACTGTTGTTATCTCATTAATCATGGGTTAATTACGGTTTAAATTCACATTTTTGGATCAGCAAATCATTCACTTCCCTCCTTTTCTGGTTAAATCAAACCCGACCCGTCATCCTTCCAAATCGGGTCTGGGGGGCAAGTTGTTTGGGTCCAATTTAGTCCAATTGGGCCTGGTCACTGAATGATCCAATTAAAAGCCCAAGGCAAAGGTTCAACTCTCCAAATATGCTAAAGTCAAAAATCAACATCCTCAAAGCCATGTCAAGGTCAGTCAACGGCCCAATCAGCTTGGCCCAGCCCAACTGATTTCCGGGCCCAATCCGCCTCCTTCATTAGCCAAGGTATAAAAGCCAACAATTTGGTCAATTCTTGGTAAGAGAAAGACAAAGACAAAGACACAAAAGCCTCAAGCAACTAAACTCTTGCACAGCTTTCTCTCTCTAATATACTGACTTAAGCATCGGAGGGGCCTTCCTCGGCGTCCCCCCCGAGGCTAGTTTACGTGTATTTGTTGTGCAGGAAACCCTCGGCTCCTGCGTCGTTCGGACCGAGGCCAAGTTCCCTCAAGATAAAAGGATCTTCCGAGATTCGATTGTTTTCATCCGAAACAATAAGTATATGAATATTAAAAGTTTTAGCCACATATGATATGATTTGGTCAGACTTTTACAAGGATGAGTGAAAATTTACAAATAAGTTGAATTGAACAAATAAGTGAAAATTTACAAATAAGTTTTAGCCGCATATGATATGATTTGGTCAGACTCTAATAACTAGAGCGCATTCATAACATACATTGCAGACTCGCATTATAACAAAGTTCGTATCAAAGAAAGCTACGTCATGTTACAGTAGTAAAAAACATTCATAAATATGCCTAATCTTGCACTCTCCCTATGGATTGACCTGACAGAGGCTGCAAAACCTCATTTCTAATTGAAAGAATTATATTCCGTGAGTATAACATTGGTATGCTTTGCAATATATACAGAGTCTAGGATAAGGTTATGCCTCTAATCTAGCTATAAACAAGGAAAGGAAATATTCCTACGGCTAAATATAAGGTAACCGAAATATACAAAAATATTTACACTTATCTTATCACACCCCCACAGTCGAAGCGGGAGGTGGACGGACCCTGACACTGTCCCTAAAATCATTAAAGAGAACGCGTGGGAGACCCTTTGTAAAAATGTCCGCAGTTTGATACCTAGACGGCACATGAAGTACACGGACTTCACCACGAGCAACCTTTTCCCGAACAAAATGTATATCCATCTCTATATGTTTTGTTCGTTATGCTGAACTGGATTGCCTGATGAATAAATAGCACTGACATTGTCACAATACACCATAGTCGCCTTTTTAATCGGAGAATGCAATTCAAGAAGAAGATTTCGGAGCCAACACGACTCAGATACTACATTAGCCACACCCCTATACTCGGCCTCTGCACTTGACTTTGACAATGTTGGTTGTCTCTTAGATGACCAAGAAACCAAGTTATCACCCAAAAATACACAATAACCACACGTTGAGCGTCTTGTATCAGGGCATCCACCCCAATCTGCATCAGTATACGAGACGAGAGTAGAAAAAGAAGAAGGATACAAGTGAAGACCATAGTCTATAGTACCCTTAATATATCTGATTACCCGCTTAAGAGCTGACATGCGATCAACCCGCGGATCATGCATATGAAGACACACCTGTTGGACGGCATATGAAATATCCGGCCGAGTGAAAGTGAGATATTGTAGAGCCCCTGCAAGACTCCTATACAATGAAGGGTCATCAAAAGTAGCACTAGAAGTAGCACTAACCTTTGGGTTGGTATCAACTGGAGTGGGAGACGGCTTACAAGAGGACATCCCGGCCCGGTCAATTATTTCTTCTGCATATTTGCGCTGTGAGAGGAACATACTACCCTTATGCCTAGTGACAGCAATACCAAGAAAATAATTTAGAGGACCGAGATCCTTCATAGCAAACTCGGAGCTAAGAAGATCCATTATGGAACGTCGGAGGGTATCTGAAGAAGCTGTGAGAATTATATCATCAACATACAATAATAAGTAAGCCATTTCCGACCCTTTCTTGAAAATGAACAAAGAATTGTCCATAGTACTGTTGGTGAAACTAATAGACAAAACAAAATCAGCAAAACGCTTATACCAAGCGCGGGGGGCCTGTTTAAGTCCATACAGAGACTTACGCAGAAGGCACACATAATCAGGATGAGTAACCTAAAGGTTGATGCATATACACTGTCTCTTGAAGCTCGCCATGCAAAAAAGCATTTTTGACATCTAACTGATCAATAGACCATGCCTTAGATAGAGCTATGCTGAGAACAGTACGAATGGTAGCCGGTTTCACAACCGGACTAAATGTCTCTCCACAATCAATGCCAACCTGTTGAGTTTTTCCATCACCTACAAGACGGGCTTTATGCCTCTCAAACACACCATTAGATTTAACTTTATGAGCAAAAATCCACATAGACCGAATAACATTAACATCAGGAGGACGGGGCACCAACTCCCACGTCTTTTTCTTAATAAGAGCATCAAATTCCTCATCCATGGCAATTTTCCAGTTAGGGTCACGTAGAGCCTCTACCGGATTTCGAGGTAAGGGTGACCTCGATACGGAAGTGTGAAGGGACTGCTGAGTGTATTTAGGATTGGGCTTAACAATCCCATGTTGACTTCTAGTCACCATCCTAGGTTGTTGGACTGGAATAGTAATGGGAGGTGGTAATGGGCCTGTTTGTGTTTGGGTTTGTGGGTTAATTGGTGAGGGAGAACTTTGTGGCGGTGGGTTGGAAGGAGAGGGAACGGAGTGGCAGGTTGGGCCGTGGGGGATGCGGCATGAGGCTGCTGGGCCGAAGGAGAAATGGGCCTTGGAGAAGTGGGTGGAGCGTGAGATTGGACCTGCTGATTATGTATTTGATGAATAACATATGGATGTAATCCATCCGCAAGAAAATCATATGTATTAGCATTAGGGACATGTAATTTTGCAAATGGAAAAACCGTCTCATCAAATAAAACATGGCGACAAATGATGATTTTATTAGAAGATAAATCAAAACATTTATAACCACGGTGGTTTGTAGGATATCCCAAAAAACACACGGTGTTGATCTTGGTTGAAGCTTGTTAATGGTAGTAGAGGGAATAAGAGGATAACATAGACAACCAAAAACCAGTAAGTGAGAATATGAAGGAACCCTTTTGTAAAGAATTTCTAAAGGAGACTTATTTCCTAAGAGTTTGCGAGGAAGAATATTAAGAAGATATGTCGCCATTTGCAATGCATGATGCCAAAACGAAGGGGGGAGAGATGCACGAGCAAGTTAAGTATGGGTGACATTATTTATGGATCTAATTTTTCGTTCGGCTTTCCCATTTTGAGAAGAGGTATGGGGACAAGATAGACGGAAAGACATGCTATGTGTGTTGCAAAATTCCCAAAAAGGACCATTATCAAACTCCCTTCCATTATCACATTGCACATTCTTAATATTACGCTCAAATTGGGTGAGTATATGTGTTTTAAAAGTTAAGAATTTATCAAACACATCCGATTTACGAGACAAAGGGAATGTCCATAAATAATTCGAAAAATCATCCAAAATCAACATATAATATTTATGTCCCAAAGAACTCAAAATAGGGGAAGACCAAAGATCGCTATGAATAATATCAAAAGGCATAGTTGTACTAGACAAAGAAGAAGCAAAAGGCAATTTAATGTGTTTTACCATTACACAAGAACCACAAATACTTGAATTTGAAATACTAGTACAATCAATGCATTTATTTTTCCTAAGAGCATCTAAGACGGGAGCCCCCGGATGACCCAAACGATCATGCCAAAGTTTAGGAGAGATGGCGGCAAAGGTAGATGTAGCTTGATTGTTGATTTTGGTGGTGATAGGATAGAGATCTCCTTGACAATTACACCTCATTATTGGCTTCCCTGCCCGAAAATCCTTCACACAAAACCCAAATGGATCAAATTCTAATTATCAGTTGTGAATTTACGAACATAAATAAGATTTTTAACTAATTTGGGTGCATGGAGGACATTATGTAGGGTAAGGGGAGGATTAGAAGAGGGTAAGATGGTATTTCCATAGCCAACAATCGGAATAGTACAACCATTTCCAACAATAATGCCATTATTAGAATGAGTGCTCAAATTAAAATAAGACGAGAAATTACCGGAAGAAGAAGTCATGTGAGAGGTGGCGCCGGTGTCCATGTACCATAACGGATCCGGTTGAGAAAGAGTCATAGTGTGCATAACTGCCTCAATATCCGTGCCTCAATATCCGTGGGAGTAGAGGAAGGGGACTGCTCATAGGGAGATGCTACATAGGCCTGCTGCTGTCCAGAGGGTCGTGGGCCAAGGATTCAGGAGGCCTTTGCTGCCGTGGCCTGGCCCATCCTTGGTTAGGATACGGGCAGGGAGGCATGGGCCAGGCCCCGTTCATCCATCCCCATGGAGGGAATTGCTGCTGCCAGAAAGGAGGAGTGGAGTTCGAATACGGAGCAGCTGTACCCGAGCCTCGACCGCCTAACTGCTGCCCCTTACCAGACTGGTTACCACCACCTGCACCACGGCCACCCGTGTTGGCGCCGCCGGCGCTTCCGTTGTTGCGCCGATTTCCAAAACTCCGGCGACCCGGATTCTTGCCTTTCGTCCCCCCCCAAATTGTCAGAGGAATGTGGGGAATCACCTTGCGACACCATCATCGCTGATTCGGTAGCCGCTTCTTTGGCCATACCAGCCTCTTCTTATGTCAGCATGGACCGAGCCTTATAAAAAGGGGGAAGCGGATTACTCTGTCGGATAAGAGTGCCGACAGCACGATATGCCTTTGAAAGGCCATCAACCATCTGTAGCACCATTCGACTGTGAGAAACAGGGGCCCCAACGTTTTTCAATTGATCAGCAATTGACTTGAGGCGTTGACAGTAGGACGACACATTAGGAAAATTCTCCATTGATGTGGTAGAAAATTCCTGTTCAAGAGCAACGGCGCGGGAATGTTTGTTGTCTTGAAATATGTCACGCAATCTATTCCAAGTGTCCATAGCCGTCGAATCGGGTTCAATGCTGGTGTTCAAAAGATCCCTAGAAATGGTGGAGTATATCCATGATATGACCGTGGCATCCAAAGTCGACCATAGTTCCTTCTCCTCATAAGTTGCGGGAGGTGGCTTCTCCTTACCCTTTGTTATGAACCGAACTGCTGTAAACAATAAAAACAGAACAAAGTTACCGGGAAATAGACTGAGTCGCGGACTATGTCGCTCTCTTTAGAACATTCACGGTACTGCCCTTTAATTTGTGCAAGCAGCTCGTACAACAACCGGATGTTCCCCAGGATAAAACAGTCTTCCTCTGTTGTAATTATACCGGTGGAACTGCACAAAACCACCGGGCAACTAAACACCAAAAAAGAAATGAAACTGCTCGAAGGTTTTGTTTTTGTGAGGAAAAATAGAGAGGAGAAGAAGATTGCTTTCTGTATTTTTTGTGTATGAAAAACAGGAAATCAACACGCCTTTTATAGGAAAAATTGCAACGTAACTGCTGCTGTTTAATTAGGCACTAATCACGCAATTAAAACGGTCATAAGTTGAACGTTCAAAACGGTTACAGAAGATTAATGCGTGGCAAAACGTTTAGCAAAAAATCAGTGAAAACGTTTGCATGATTAACGCTCCATTAATCAGTTTTGAAAAACGGTCAAATGTAATCAGTCAAAAACGTTTGGCAAAAATCAAGGAACTAATCACGCAATTAGCCTTGTCCAAAAAATAAGTTTATTTAATAAACCCGACCCGACCCGACCCGACCCGACCCGACCCAACCCAACCCAACCCAGCCCGGCCCGGCCCGGAACTCTCATTTCCCACCAATGTGGGACTTTGAGTTTTTTCACAAAATTCACACACTACACACTTGTTGTTCCAACAATCCCCCACTTGAATTTTTTGAAAACATTTTCGAGCAGAATCCATACATATATAGGTTGCGCATAAACAGAAGTGTTTTTCAACTTGAAATTCGACGTAGTGAGTACGATTCAGATTCAACAAGGGTGACTCGAAGTTTTGAACCCTATCTCTGACAACGTACCACACACAACCTACTCTTGGTGTTGTTCTAGACCCGTGCTATTTCGGCCATGCACGTCTATCCCAGTGTAGTGAATGCTCTAGAAATGCTGCCACACATTTCATAGGAAGCGGCCTAACTTCCACATTCACATAGGTGAATCTATCAAGAGTACTCCTGTAGCTTGGTACTCCACTCCAAATTGGAGTATAGATTTCATTAAGAGTTCCTATTAACTCATCCTTGATCGCTTCAGGAAATTATGTCTTTTGAACATATTCAACTCATAACACACCATAACTTGTTATTACCCTTTGAACCTATTTCTTGGGATCTCCAGTTCATAGGTTGGGTTACCATTATGTGTGGTTCATTTCAATGGCAATAGTCCCATTTTCTTAGAGGAAAAATGGACTTTCTCCCTAGCTAATCCTTTCGTCAAAGGATCAGCCCGACCCGACCCGACCCAACCCAACCCAACCCAGCCCGGCCCGGCTCGGCTCGGTTCGGTTCGGCGCGCGTGTGTGTGATAGATGGTTTACCATATAGGTCCTCCCTCTCCACAAAATGTGGGTAGCCCAAGGGCCACACCCCTTTAGCCCACTCTCTATATTATAAAGAGAGTAAAACTCTCATTTCCCACCAATGTGGGACTTTGAGTTTTTTCACAAAATTCACACACTACACACTTGTTGTTCCAACACCCTTAGGTGGAGTGATTATATGATCGAGAACTTTGTGAGAACGCGCGTGAACCTTAAAGAGTTCCACCCAAGTTGAGTATTGAACATTCTCCATCTCAAGAACAATGGGAATGCTACTCTTAATATTTGAGATTGTAAAAGCAGGATGAAAAGAAGAAGAAGAAGCTTTGTCCGACATCTTGAGGTTGCCGGAGAGAGGAAGAAGATGACGGAAAAACAGAGACTGGGCGGAGAAACAGAGTGTTAGGGTTGAGCGGAAGACGAGAGATGAATAACCCTAGCTAACTGATACCATGAAAGAATTATATTCCGTGAGTATAAAATTGATATGCTTGCAATATATACAGAGTCTAGGATAAGGTTATGCCTCTAATCTAGCTATAAACAAGGAAAGGAAATATTCCTACGGCTAAATATAAGGTAACCGAAATATACAAATTTATCTTAACACTAATCAAGTACTGTAGTGGTCAAACCATGGTTGTTCTGCGTTATTAATTTTGTGTGAATAGCAAAAACCTGCTTGTCGTTATTAGAAACAACAATATTCTATCTTTTAAAAACAGTTTTTCTAGAAGACTAGAAATCTTTCACTATTAAAGTTGCCTACTTATAAACTGCTCAAGATCCTGCATTAATTGTATTCTAATACTACTAGGTAGATTATATGATAAACCTATGCAGCAATGATTTCATCTTCATCATTGTTAAGACTCTTCCTCATCTCTACTATACAATATGATCACTCTTTCGAGATAAAGTCTCGAAGCTTGATTCATAAACTAATCAATGACTTACTACATTACAGTATTTTAAACAACCATAATGCACATACATTGCCAAAGCCATAATGTGAGTAAGCAATATAACCTGGAGTATACCTCTTACTAAAATGATTCGGATGGCACAAACTCGTTTCGCCTCAATTCATCGCCCGACATCCGGCCACAACCACATACACAATAAACAGTTCATTCATATACCCATTAATCCATCACCTCAGTCCAATCAAGTCTCATCCTCAGGCAGCCGGGGGATCGCGCCGCAAGAACTCATCAATCGTGGAAGGAAACTCAATCCCATCAAAACCCTCACCATCACCATTACCATGAACAAAAGCAGCCTTTCCTAATAGCAAATGAGCCAATCTAAAAGGTTCAATCTTTTCCTTTCTAAAATAACTAATCCACCCTTCTAATCTCTCCATTTCCTTCTTACATTTGGGACCCTTCACCCCAGCAATCTTCCCGAAAAACCCACTACCACAATGACAAGAATCACAAGTTTCCAATTCATAATCAGAATTTGAGTCACAATCAGATAACCCTAACCCTAGAAGTTCAATTAACAATCCAATTTCATCAAAATCTGTAATTTCTTCTTGGAGGGTTTCAGGTGGATTGATCAAAAGGGGTTTTTCTAGCAATGATTCTGCTTCATGGGTTGGCGGGAAATCTGATGAATTTGAGAGAAATTGAAGTGGTGTCTCACTGTCTTCTTCTCCTTCTTTAAGATTTGAAGATTGACGATGAAGTTGAGTGGTATTATTATGAAGATAAATTGGGGAAGAGAGAGATTCTGTTGTAGAAGTATTGATTTCTGGAGTTTGAGAAAGCGTAGAATTTGGTTGTTCAAGTTTCAACCTTTTCTCAACTTGCTTGAGAGAAGAGAAGAAGTTAGAATGTAGCCTGCTCATTGGCTTCGATTGGGAGGGATCGCCAAGGATGGACTTTGTATCACATTTTTCTTTTTTGCTTTTTTAAATTCGATAATAGAAAGGCATCTAATAATTTTTTATTTTTTAGTTGATGTTTAGAGAGCCATAATAATAAGGGTAGGTGATAAGAGTCGATTTCAAAATTTATTCGGGAGAAGAGCTCAAATCACTTGATCTATCCCTCACTCATAAAGGTTTCCCATAATATGAAGGCACGATCCACCCTCTCCTCTTAGACTCCTACCATAACAGCTTTTTTATTTTATTTTTTTTAAAGAAAAAAACAAGAATAACTTAAAAAATACAAAACAAGTCAAAAAGAAAAATACAAAAGCTCACTACAAGAATAACTTAAAAAACAAAACAAGTCAAAAAAAAAAAAAATACAAAAGCTGACAATGTTAGGCTTTCGTGGCCAATTAATGAGTCGGAGTAATCCAAGAACATGGGACCCTTTTTTTTTTTTTTTTTTTGACAAAAGAACTATCAAATAAATATATAAAGGCAATATTACAACCTAATGGAGCTAAAAGAAGCAAAAACCAACTTAATACTAACAACTACAAAAACTACCTTGTGTAAAGATGCTAATACAACACACCTAAACCTATAATCATAGAGCGCCTGCCGAAGAGAACCAGAGTACCAGAAAAGATTCACAGCACCCCAAATACTACAGAGTCTAGCCAACCAAGAGAATCGTACCACATACTCAATGCGGACCGAGAGATGTCGAATTAACCATAACATTCGAGATGGACAGAAAACACCAAATAACCTCAATGCAGAATACCGGAAGTAGCACTAGCATCGGAAAAAGAGTGCACACAAAACAACTCAAAAGAGCAGACTAGATATCACGCAATAACCACCCTGAAGAAATGGGAATAGGTTTGGAACCAAGCAGCAAGGACAATAGCGTAGAACAATTAGTGTACATTAGATCCCGATTGTAAGCTTTCCGAATACCCATTTAGAGTACCCAGAGACACACTTGTAATTCTGACAAGCCTTGGCACCGTCCCCAAAAACCTGCGAAGAATCAATTTTCCGAAGAATTAGTGTACCTTAGAATCCGATTGTAAGCTTTCCGAAGACCCATTTTAATGTCTACCCTTAACTTATTATTATTTAAACTAAATTAATGTATTATTTTAAGTTTTTATTATTAACTTTTTTTATATGTGATTTTATAAGGAAAAAAAATAAAAGAAAAAATATAAAGTTTTGGGAGGATAATTATTATTGTGAATGCGACATATGTACTTTTGGGATGATTCTCATAATTAATTTAGCATTTACTATTTACTTATTTAGTATAGATTTCTAATCTTTATTATTTTTCTCCAAAAAAAATTTCTCATTTTGTAACCACGCAAATAATAACCTATATCATTTCAAAGACCTACTATAAACTACTTCCTCCATCCTTAAAAGATAACCTCAAACAACTCCTTTTTTTTTTTTTTTTCCTTTGTTTTAAACAAAATGAAGATGTGAAGGGTTAATTTATAGGTTAGTTGTGCCATATAGTCATCAACTCATGTGTGGTTAAAATGTTAGATAGATATATTACGTATATAGATTAATAGATAGGATTTGTTGAGTTGAATTGAATTGTGATGTTTGTCAAAAAAGAATTGAATTGTAATGGTTCGTTGAATAGGTACTATTACTATACAATAATTATGATGGTGGACAATAAAATTGCGAACAATTGTACGTCCACGTGATGCAACATATTACCATAACCCATTTCAATCATTTCATCATAACTCCAATTTAATCTACTCCGTATGTTACGTGTAATAAACGTTGATCATAATATAAAAAATTAAAAAGCAAACAAACCATTTGAAACTATTATTAACATCTAATCTTTTTGGGGTATAAACTGATTTACATGACTTTGATTTTGTTACAGGACTAAATTTGGTCGGATAAGATAACTAAGTTGCCAAGATGAAGGTGCTAGATCTACTTGTTGTAGCTTCCATGCCCATTATCAAGCTTCTTCTCATCACCGCGATTGGTTCATTACTCGCCATAGATCGTGTTGATGTCTTGCGTGACACTTCGAGGAAGTACTTGAACAAGGTAATGTTAATATGTTTAGTTTTTGTTATTGTTACAAATTTATATGAATTTCTCATTGTTGGAACATCGAGTTATATATATATGGTCTAGTAACCGGAGAGGATCTATGTATCCCATTCTAATGTAACCGCGTTGATTTTCTATGTGTGTTTAATCTTGTTCATTTTCTTGTTGGATAATTTAGCTTGTGTATTTTGTATACAACCCGGCTTTCGTGGGTAGCAGCTTGGCACAAACTGTGACTTATGAGAGCCTACGCACACTGTGAGTTACATCTACTATACTGTGTATGTGTTAGTTCATTCTTTGATATATGTTTCATAGGTTTTTTTGTTTAATTTCCTGTGTTCATTTTTAGGTGGTTTATGCCAGTAAATGTTTTGATCACAAATCTTCTAGGTTCGGCGCTTGGTTGGGTACTCGTGAAAGTTACAAGAGCTCCAAGGCATCTAAAAGGCCTCATTATAGGTTCATCTTCTGCAGGTATATATATCGAAATAACATGCTAGATCGAGTCACATATATATATCGATTTAAGATACTTGAATGAAGTTGTCAATGTTTTTTTTTTTCAAGGTTAAGGTTGCATCCTTGAGTATAGGTTCTGTAAATAAGGCTTCTGCCTTAGAATTTACTATTTGAGTTTATCTGAATTAGGGAACTTGGGGAACTTGCCCATTATCATCATCCCTGCACTATGTAAAGAGAAGAGTGGACCCTTTGGCGCGCCTGATGTTTGTTACTCTTATGGCATGGCTTACGCTTCACTTTCCATGGCGGTATGATTGCTAACTTGAACACTTGTACATATGAATGGTCATCACATCGATAGTGTAACTTGAAATAGGAATGTGATTATTGATCTCGGATTGTGTTAAGATTAATGCTCAAAGACCTCCCCTCTCATTCATTGATCAATCATATTTATACAAGAGGACCTTGATCTCCAAGGAAGATCATAAACAATCTATATCAAACTAGGAAACTAAATAATATCTTTTCCTAAGATAAGATTATAGAGTATCTAGCAAATATATATTGTAGATTCTATCATATCTTTCCTAATACCCCCCCTAAAGTTGGAGCAGTTGGATCAAAGATGCCCAACTTGCTTAGAAGGTAATCAAATTGTTGTTTTCCCAAGGCTTTAGTAAACAAATCGGCTAGTTGCTCATTTGTACGCACATGATGTGGAATGATCAAGCCTTCTTGAATGGCATCCCTTACAAAGTGACAATCCACTTCGATATGTTTGGTGCGCTCATGAAATACGGGGTTTTGAGCAATGTGTATGGCCACTTGACTATCGCAGTATAGAGGTATAGCCTGAGGATGTTGAACACCCAAGCTCAAAAGAAGACCCCGTAGCCATTTCATTTCCATAGTGATTGCACACATAGAACGATACTCCGATTCACCCGAGGAAGTCGCAACTGTTGGCTGCTTCTTGCACTTCCACGCAATGGGAGAATGGCCCAAAAATACTAGCCATCCCGAGACTGAGCGGCGTGTTAGAGGGCAGGCAGCCCAATCCGCATCACACCACCCTTCAAGGGTGAGGTTGCTGTCCGCACGCAGCAATATACCTTGTCCTGGTGTACTTTTCAAGTAGCGTACAACACGGAGTGCAGCATCCCAGTGAGCTACTTGAGGTGCTTGCATAAATTGAGATAGCACATGTACGGAGTATGTGAGATCAGGCCTAGTAACGGCCAAATAAACAAGGCGCCCAACCAAGTGTCTATAAGGCTCCGGGTTTGCAAGAAGAGGGCCATTGGCACGTCCCAAATGATGGTTTTGCTCCATAGGGGTCATAGCCGGTTTCGACCCTAAGAGCCCGGTCTCTGAGATGATATCAAGGGCATATTTGCGTTGACATAAGAACAACCCGACGCTACTTCTTGCAACTTCAATTCCAAGAAAATATTTAAGTACTCCCAAATCCTTCATATGGAAACAAGTACTTAAATAATTTTTGAACAATTTTAGCGTTGTTGAGTCGTTTCCGGCAACAATTAGATCGTCCATATAGACAAGAACATTAAGTTGAACCGATCCCTTAGTGTAAGTAAAAAGGGAATAATCCGAGTATGATTGTAGAAAACCATACTTCGTCAAGGCCGAAGTCAACTTGGCAAACCAACACCTAGGAGTTTGTTTGAGTCCATATAGAGATTTTCGAAGACGACAAACAAGTCCCGGTTCATCTGTAGTGAACCCCGGTGGAAGCTTCATGTACACTTCTTCATTTAAATCACCATGAAGGAACGCATTATGGACATCCATTTGATGTAACTCCCAATTCTTGGAGGCATCAATGACAAGAAATGCCCGAATCGTGGTCATCTTGACAACCGGGGCAAATGTTTCAGCATAATCTATGCCTTCGGTTTGATGGTTACCAAAAACAACCAATCTTGCTTTCAACCTTTCAATACTTCCATCAGATTTGTATTTAATTTTGTACAACCATTGACTTCCAAGAGCCTTTTTCCCGGGAGGTAGTTTCTCTAATGTCCACGTGCCATTGTTTTCTTAAGCACGCATTTCTTCTTTCATAGCCATCTTCCAACCATGATCTTGCATTGCCTCTTTGAAGTTTCGAGGCTCCTTTCCTCCTGTTAAAGCTGCAACAAAATTTCGGTGTTTTGCAGAAAACTTATCACAACTAACATAATGTGCTATAGGATACGGCATACCTGAGGGAGGAGTAGCAATTGGATTGAGTGATACTTCGGATGGACTATTTCGAGCAACATGGGTATTGATCGGTGGACAATAGGTTGTTAGTTTATTATCCTAGATCAAAATTACAATTTATAACTCCTATCCTAGCTCTATCAAATTTTGCTTTAGATAGCGGTAAGGTAGGGTCGATTCCCAAGGAAACGGGGGTTTAACACAATTAATACGAAATCGAGGAGAAATTGCTAATAACAAAAGGTGGTATTTGAATTTGTGTTGAAGAATTTTATGGACAAACTAACTACTATTGAGCCTAGAATAAACTAGAAATAAGGGAAATAGATTAAACACTTTTAAAAGCAATTAAATGGACAAGATTATAGAGATAACAATGACAAAAGCACTAGGGAAAGGGGGATTCAATCATGAACAAAGAGTACTAGTGAAAACCGAAAGGAAACCGATTCTAGGAGTATAAACTCTACCTAAAATAGTTCATTCTCATGCAACTACTTAAGCAAGTCGACGAAATCATTCACACCTAGATTAAATCATTCTCATGCATTCAATCAAGGGCTAGATTCTTGGGATTAGAGGTGCACATACTAACTCCAAGCATATTATAGCTCAAATCATCAACTCAAGAATAAGTCCCAATCAATAATCAATAGATATTCAAATACACATGATTTTCACCCCCTTCCCTAGCTAAAAACCTAAGCTAGAAGGAAGGGAATGGCCATAACAACTAACATAAGCATGTATTCAATACCAACACAACCTAACATGATTCTAACTTGAAAGGAAAATCAAAGAAACTAATAAAGCTTGAATATTTATGGAAATAAACTCAAGTAAGAGCAATAAAACAAAGAAGATCAAAAACTAGAGAAACAAAAGTAAAGATTGATATTATAAAGATTAAAGATTACCAAATCATCAAAGTAGTAGCAACAATCTAGAAGAAAGCTTGAATATTTGGTTACAAAGATTGAATCTTGAACACTAGTGTTTTCTCTCTCTAGAAACCATGAACTTCTCTCTCTACCAATGATTTTTGGGGCCAATGGAATAGTGGATGCTAAGAAAATCAAGCAAGGGACTATTTATAGTCTTCAACCAAAAGGAAGAAAAAGGGCAAGGGAGAGGGCTCTCCGAACAGGCAGCCGCGCCCTCTCCAAGCTGGGTAAATAGCCTCGTAAAACCCAGAAAGCCGCGCCCGCGGGCCTAAGTGCCGCGCCCGCGGGGCTTCTCTGCCGCGCCCGCGGCACATATGCTCCGCGCCCGCGGCTCGCCATCTCCACTTTCTTCTGCTGGCTTCAGACTTTTCCTGTCCGCGCCCGCGGCTTACCATCAGAACAGCGCGCCCTCTCCATCCTGGCATCTCCACTCCTTTGCCAAGCTCCTTTGGCATCTCCACTCGAGCTATTGATTCGTGAATCGCAGATAAGCGCTGCGAGCTGTCAAAATACATAAAAAGGAGGTAAAAACTAGAAGAAAAGACAAAAAGGGGAGGAAAAATACGAGAGGGGGCTAAAGTGACTAAAATCAAGATAAAAGGGGTTAAAATAGGCATAAGAAAGTGACAAATCCGGGGGAAATCGGTAGTAAAAAGGGGTTAAAATGGTGGCATAAATGCCACGCATCAAAATCCCCCACACTTGCCTCTTGCTTGTCCTCAAGAAAGACAAAGAGAGAAAGAAAAATCAAACACCACAAAGACAAACATAATATGGCATGGTTTTGGGAAAAACAGCATAAGAGATCCAAAGAACAATTGCTTTATCTGGACTCAACAATGACAAAAACGTCAAAGAGTATTAGCTATTCTCAACTACGTGATGCATGCACGCCTCAAGATGTTAGAGATTGCAAGAGTCGAGCCTCAACTAAGCATAGAGAACTAGTGAGTCATCTTTCGCTCTAATCCCCTCTAAAACGGTCCGCGTTCTCCCCACTAGATACAAATCGTCCCCCTAGATGGCTCCTCATGATTCCACGAAGGAACCGGAAAAAGATTTAATTTGAGGAAGTAAAAGATCATCCCGACATCTCAACTATGCACGTTCTTTCCATAGGGTTGAGAACCATCTCCCTCCACCGTTTGTTGACCATGCACTCTTAAAGTCAAAGGGGCTTCACAAGGGTTGTACTGACACGGCTTAAGGTAGAGGTCGGAATATTCAATTTGAAATAGTGGCGGTAATTCCTAAGTGAAGCAAGAGAAAGGGGGATCCTCAAGGTCAAAACTCAAAACACAACCACAACTCAAACGAATATCCAAACATTTTGATTTCATTCGCATCACCACCCTTTATTCAAGTATATATACAAGATAAATAAATTTCTCATTTCATCAAATAAAGGTTTTTTTTTTTTTTTTTTTTTTTTCAAACTTCTTTACATATTCAACTCTAGAATTACAAACCAATTCCACAAATGATTCACGTTCACATTCATGACGCTCTTTCACACTCGCCTCGCAAAGCCATTGCTTCATTAACTAATAGGGGTTAGTAAACATAGGTCGCTAGGCTTGTAATGAGGTTGAGACAAGAATGGGAAAACATTAGGCTCAAATTGGTTGGCAAGAGGGATGATGCAAAGAGAAAAATCAAATTTGTAACTAAATAAAAGAGAAAATAAACAAAAATGAGAAATGGTGCCCTTTTCCTCTCTCAAAAGTCCAAGGTCGCGATCTTGGGAGCTAATAGTCAACACAAGGATTCAAACATGCATAGTCGAGGATCCCAATACGCCGCTCAACAAGTTGATGAAGGCATGAACAAGAGAACCTCACAAGGGATGAGAAAGGTAAGCAAATACCAACTAGAGGGCTTCAAATCCACTACAGGGAGCAACTCCATCTTACCACATCCCGTGAACTAGGGGTTCAAACGCCCTCACAAGTTCTTACCCTTGCTACCTTAACTAAGGCTCGTCTAATTCAATCAACAACAATCTCGAAATGTGCACCTCATCACATAGTTAAGAAAAAGGACAAACATTCAAGGATGCATCATCACGGAGATAGAATCCAAATGTAGCAAGCAAGTTCTAAAACACATTCATATCATCATGCCATAATTATGCT